CACTCCTACATGACGCTAAGATGCTACACACTAGGTCACATTAATAGTGTGCGTTCCTTACATCCAAGGTTTTCTTTATTTCTTGTAGTAAAGAAACGTTGACCCTCTGCTCTCCGCTTCCGAAGGCAGGCGTGCTAACCGCTAAGCTATGGGACCCAAGAACAGCCACTTTAGCTCAAAGCTGTAGACCCCAGAATAGGCTAACGGTTAATGATACAAAAATGTAATTTGAATAAATTAATTGTACAAACTAATTGAAAAGTGGTTTCAACTGGGCACCACCTATAGACCAGAAGAGGAGCTACATGCTATCAAACAGAAATAACAACAGGTTTAAGCCTGTTCAACCCCGCAGCTTCAGACGGCGTTGTTCACTGGAACACAGGTCTGACTGTTGAGAGGAAGCGGGCGAAGACAGACAGGTGCGTTCAGACAGACAGATGATCAGCGGTAAGTGTGAGTATTACTGCAGGCTGCTGCTTTTAGACGACTCATTACCGCGACCTCCTGTCGACTGAATCCATCACACATTACTGGCGTGGCGGAGACACACCCACTCTCATCACAGCACATCTAAATGTAAAGAAAAAAAAAACTACTTTTTTTCTGCAGGATCATCCGGTCCGCTGAGCGACAGCGACGAACGATGTCAGAGACGTCGTCCACGGTCACGTGAGACGGAACCGCGAGACGCTGTAGTCGCCAAGACTGGGTGAGAATGGCTGATGACTTCAGCATCGTTACTCCAAACAGTATAAATCAGCGGTTCTCAAACTGAGGTACGCGTACCACTGGTGGTACGTGAGTGCCCTCTAGTGGTAGGCGGGGCCTGTACAGTACGTTTCAAAAATTGAAAAACATTTTTTGTGTCTATATGTGGTCCAGACTGATGACTGGGATCCCAGCTTTTTCTAGTGCACATTCATGTCTTCAAAGTGGAAAATTACTGTTTATAAGACGATAGTGAGATCTATGATAGTGAGCTATGACATGCGGATTAGCGACCATGGCTAAAACTGAGGTGGGAGTGACCAGGATGGACAAGATTAGAAATGACTAGGTCAATGAGATCGAGCAAAGGATGCTAAAGACCACAGGGGGGCAAACAGTTTGGCTCACAGTCCAAAATAAGGTTCGAAATTTGGCTAGCAGGCTAGTTGGCTGTAGAACGCTTGGCGAAATATTTTAAATAAAATGTGCAAAAATAAGCCTAAACTTTCAAAAATCATTCGGCACATTTGATTGATCGGTTTTTACCGTACCTTTTACCATTGTTTGGCGGGCCAAAGATGAAAGCCCTGCAGGCCGTATATGGCCCACGGGCCATAGTTTGCTCAGGTCTGCTCACGGACGAAGGGAACAGTCATCGTCTTCACATTTAATTCTCACGTCTCCCATCGTCAGTTCAGACGGAAACCATTAGCGAAGCGAAGAGCCCCGGGGGTAAAGAAAGTGAGGAGCACCCGAGGTAGAGGAGGCGACGAAGAAGAATCATGTTTATCTGATAGACTGAATACAAACAGCCTGATTTCACCTCCGCTCTGAGTCACACACAAAATCTTTACCTCCTGCAGGGAAAATTCCCACCTACTCTGGCTTTTTCAATCTCTTACCCTGCGGCTGCCCGGCGCCGTCCTCAACGTCGCGGGGCGAGGCCGGCGGGCAGAGCTGCCGCGCTTTTAAACTTGTCGATAAAACGCTCATCTCTGCGATTCGCTCAGCGTTGACAGTGATTAACACTAATGTTTGCTCGGTGAATCTGGATAATGAGCCGTAACAGCAGGGGGCGTCCAAACTTTTTTGGGCACGGGAGCTACTACTGAGATGACCAGGTTAAAGTAATTGACCTACACTGAAAACATATAAATGTTAATATATATATGGTAGATCTTGATCCTGAGTCTTGGACCCGAGGAAAAAAAATATTTGCAGAGATTTTCTGAATGTTTTTTTGTTTTGTTTATGTTTTTAGAAATAAATGACGTTTGAATATTTCCGTTAGCTAAAGGCTAATGACATAGCATTTAATGTTTAGCGGCTTCACTGACCAGAGTTTTTTTATTTTTTATAATCATAAATCCGGCAGCTGTCAACAAACAGAGTCATTACCGTGCCGCACCGTCACATTTTCACACTTTCATCGGCCACAATGGGAAGAAAAGGACACATGAGCGTTGACGGTGTGACCTGTGACCCCCGGGGGCAGACAGGCCCACAGACAGCTTACAGCCTCCATTCACTCACACACTTCATTTATTTCGAGTTTTAATCTAATCATCAGAGATCGGAGGAGGCGGGCGC